GGGGTGGAGATGGGGGAAAGGGAAAGAGGGGAGGGAGGGAGAGAGAAATGTGGGGGACATAGAGATGGGGGAGGTGGAGACAGAGGAAAGGGAGAAAGAGAGAGAGAGAAAAAATAAATTGACGCAGCAATCACATAGATTAATAGTGAGATACTTGTTACTTACGTTAGTAAGTGAGTTAACAACATATGCATGCAAGTTTACAAACGATGGAAGAGACAGTCCACGTACTAGCGTATCATCCCTTGCGTTAGTACATGATTCTGAATTATATTCAAGAGGGTGCTTACGATACCTCACGAACCAGCTGCATCTCGGTGACTATTAAAGGTATCTAATCCAGATTTTGACACAATTTAGAATGTAAAAATGGTAACCGGGTTGTGTTATAGACTCAATTTCGGGATGTATGTCTGTTATGATAGTACGTGATTCGGGTGACAATATGCCAGCTTCATAAAACTGAGCAGGTTGATCTTAGGTGTACAGCAGTCTTGATTTCTCCATCGTTTCCGTAGTGTTGACCTCTCAATTGTTCTTTTCTAAGATAAAAAATGTGGAAGTCTGGAAATCAAGAGAATAAGCTGGGTGTGGCAGTGTTTTCCACCCTAACGAGGTTATTGTCTCCCTTGTTCTGGCACTCTCATGCAGGCGGGTATTGTCGTAGCGAAAAGGAAACACTCTTTCCATGTTCAAATTTGGTCTGACTCGTCTAATTCTCGCTTTCAGTCGTTTCATTGTTTCAATGTAGGCATCAGAATTGACAGTTCTTCCTCGTGATAAAAAAATGTGAGAAACACGCTATGAACGTCCCAAAACACGGTTGCCATGATTTTTTGGGCTGATTCTTTGGGACGATGCCTATCTGACCAGCCTGTGGACAGCTCTTCCTCTTCTTCCGGTTCATTGCTCAAACGTCTAACCCACCTAAATTAAATACAGTGCCAAAAATCTAGAGCTTGGTCCTTGTAAACATTTTAAAGTCTGTTTTGGCCGTTACCGGTGGATTCTCCTTCTAAAACAAGAAATTCAATCACAGCTCTTTGCCTCTGACAGACCTCCAAGGGGGCAGCCATTTTTATGTGACGTCATTCCGGCAAAAAATCAAAGAAACTTCAATTTTAACAGTTTGAGTTCAAAAGTGCATGTGAAAGTACTTGTCAGCTGAAATTCATATAATTTGATGCCGTACTGCGAAAAATAGCAAACAACTTGCATTACTTTTTGACTGCCTGTCGTATGTGGAATGTCATGTAAATAACAGAAAATATTTCAATATTTTCTAGTTTTATATTCATTTATATTCAACAAATAGAGAATGCATGGTAATATCCAAAAAAGCAGCAAATCCTAGTTGTAATCTCATTAGCAAAGGTGAAAAGATCAAACAAGTCCAACAGTTTAAATATCTAGGATATATGATAACATCTGATGCCAAATGTTCCATGGAAATAAAATGGAGAATTACAATGGCTGAGGTTAGTTTCAATAAAATGAGCCCAATCCTGAAAAACAGAAACATCTCAATGAACACCAAAATGAAAGTTCTGAAATGCTATGTTTGGTCAACCCTTCTATATATGGCTGTGAACGCTGGACAGTCTCTAAAGACCGTG